CCCCCCCCCCCAACTTTTAATAATCCAAAACCAAAAGAGAACTCGTCATCACCCATCCTCCACTTAAATTTTTTGCAAACTTCCTGGCAATCAACGATTTGCCCATTGGCAACCTTCACCTTCATGGGCGTACGAAGCCAACTAATTTGAGCCCTCAAGTTCTTAACCAGTTGTGGATCCACAAAACTATGGGTGGATCCACTATCGATTAAAACCAACATCATTTGCTTCTTTGACCAGCCTATAATCTTGATGGTTTTTGTATTGGATCCCAAACCCAGTATAGCATTAATTGAGACTTCCCCTCCCCCCCTCATGGGCCAGATGCTCCGTTACCTCTTCCTCCAATTCGAATCCTCCCTCTGTTACTTCCCCAGTCACCTATTCCCCTGCTATTGCATTCAAAGCCTTAGCCTTACATTGATGTCCAGGGTGATATTTTTCATGACAATGGAAATAGAGGTTTTGAGCTCGCATCGTCTCATAAGAAATATTCTTGGTAGTAGTAGCTCTTTTGGGAATAATAGGTTGGGTTTTTTGTGGTTGAGAAGGTTGGGTGCCTTTAGGGGTAACATAACTTGAAAATGGGCTAGAGGAGTTGTATTTTTGGCCCGCCTGATTGGCTCATTGCGTGTTTTTTGCGGTGAACTTTTTATACATGGCCTCCACCTTCGTTTCATGAATTTTTTTTCCAAGTCATAAGCAGCAACCAAGGTACGTGGATTAGCTAATGAAACAGCGTCTTGGATGTCTAACGTGAGACCCCCAATAAAACATTCCACAAAATATGCCTCATCCAGATTTGGATTTGTCACTCCCATCAAACAACGTAATTCCTCAAACTTCTTTTGATAACTTTTTACATCTGTCACTTGCTGCACTTGTTTGAATTCTCTAATAATTTGAGTGGGCCTAATGTTGCCATAACGAATACACACGTCTAGGCAAAACATAGGCCATGTCACTCTCCCCCTTTTGTCCAAAACATAGCTATCAAACCACATGTCTATTTCATCTTTCAGATTCATTGACACATACGTCATTTTCTCACCCTCATAGACTTCGTAAAGTTCAAAGAACCTGTTACACCTCCGAATCCACGCTCGTGGATTTTTTCCATCAAATTCAGGGAATGGCATTTTTGCTTTCGGCCACTTCGAGCAAGACCTTGTAGTGTCAAACCCGTTGAAGGGTGGCATGGCTCCTCCGAAGGGCTGAGGTTCGAAAGAACCAAAAGGTACTGAGAAAGGTTGATTCCCATACCCAGAAGTCTGCGTAGGGTGATACAAAATGGAGGGATTTAATAAGTATGGCATAGTGGAGGCATAAGGAACTGACATAGGCAGAAAAGAAGGAAGAGAAAAAGGTATGTAAGATGTAGTATTATAGAAAGAAGGTGGTGGTGGTAAGCTCAAATGGGTGGCAGGTAGAGGAAAAGTTTGGGCTAAGGGTCTGTAAGCATGAGCGGCCGGGTTTAAGGTTTGTGAGGTGGTGTTATCTGGGTAAGATAAGGGTTGAAGATCAGGGGCTGAAACGAAAGATATAGAAGGAAAGGTCAGACCATGGGTCATAGTTGAAACATTCGGAGAGATAAACGGGGTTGAACCTCTTAGATTTCCCCCCACATATGAGTGTGCAGAATCGTGAATCGAGTCACCCTGTGAAACGGTAGCCGTAGAGCGTAACGCCAGCGAAGCGGCAGCTCTTCGGTCATTATCCATCTGTATAAGTAGGTATTCAACCCTTTTGCTAGAATCGGAAAGCTCCGTGACCGTCATTTCGAAGAAAGCCTGTCGTTCCTCCAACTGAGTCATACGCAGCTCAGCTCCACCCGTCGTCGCCGGAATAGGTAAATCTGGCGTCCGACTACCGCCAGAAGCATTCTTGTTTTTATCCACCATAGTCTTTTAATGCAAGGATCAAAGGCTCTGGATACCAATTGTAACGATTCTACTTACAAAATAAAGGAAATTAACAGAGAAATAAGAAGATTTAGAGAAAAAGAGGATTGATATTCATCATATTTCGCTATTTACAATGCTCAAATTCTATCATTTTAAGGATGAAAAGGACAGCTATTCTAATTGTACTCCCCAAACCAGAAATAAACACGTGTAATCTTCTAGAACCCTTCCTAGCCCTTCTCCTATGGACCAAAACGAAAAATCTAAACATAAGGATTAAAAATGAAAACTCAATGCTTTAATTACAATGACTGGTACTAACAGTACCTCACTAACTCCCAAAACATTCTTGATTCTCCTTCCTTAGCAATGATGATTTCTAATCGTCACACATCGTCGATTTAAACATTGGCCATTGAGAACCAAAATTTTAATTTGGCGAGTGTATTGATCTAATTATTCAATCCAAATATGAAAATAGTTGAAATAATATTTTAAAATCAATTTGGTCCAACGACAAGTTTGAGTATGTTTTTGTGTTTTTTTCCGTAGTTTCCCATTTTAATTTTTTGCATAAACATTTGGGTCATTGTATCTGTGGGCTTGTGACAAATTTGCCGTAAAAATTGCATGGGGCGTCCTATTTGATCGTTACTTTTTAATTTGTACCTGTTTTATTTTTTTGTTTGCATTCGTACCCGTTTTTAAAATTAAAAGCGTTTTAAAAAGATAATTTTGCCTTTCTTTAATAAAAGACTATTGACAAAACTATAGACTGCAGGACAAAAATTCAGCATGTTTTGGTATGAAATTTTAGCAAATGAACTAAATAACTTCAACATGCATTAGCAAAAACTCATTAGAAAATTACATACTGCAAGACAAAAACTTAAGCATGTTTAGTCTAAAGTTTTAGCAAATGAACTAAAAAGTTTCAGCTTATTTAGACTGAAGTTTCGGATAAAACTCATGGCAAAACTGTAGACTGCAGGACAAAATTTCAGCATGTTTTGGTATGAAATTTTAGCAAATGAACTAAATAACTTCAGCATGCATTAGCAAAAACTCATTAGAAAATTACATATTGCAGGACAAAAACTTAAGCATGTTTAGTATGACGTTTTAGCAAATAAACTAAAAAACTTCAACATGTTTAGACTGAAGTTTCGGATAAAACTCATGACAAAATTGTAGACTGCAGGATAACTTTAGCATGTTTTGGTTTGGAATTTTAGCAATTGAATTAAATAACTTCAGCATGCATTAGCAAAAACTCATTAGAAAATTACATACTGCAGGACAAAAACTTAAGTATGTTTAGTCTGAAGTTTTAGCAAATGAACTAAAAACCTTCAGCATGTTTAGACTGAAGTTTCGGATAAAACTCATGACAAAACTGTAGATTGCAGGATAAATAATTTCAGCATGCATTAACATGAAGTTTTAGCTTCAATGTGAATTTTTTCACGAATGAGGTTGTAGATCACGTAATTAATGTGTGATGCAGATTTTATATCTTTTGTGAGGGGTATAATTGTCATATTATTACGAATTTTTTGTTAGTTGACTACCAAATCAATAATTTTTAAAAATAGGGTACAAGTTAAAAGGTGACACAAATATATGGTACGACCGAAAATTTCCCAAATTTTCCTTGTACATGCTATTTTACTATATTTATGGATAGAAGTAATATATATATAAATAACAAAATGAAAGAATACCGCCTAAATGGTTTGGCCAAGTTACACTTGAACATCCACATACTTTGGATTGAACCGTTAATTGGTTATTGTACACACAATAGTTGGATTCAAATATAACCACAATCTAGCCCTATAATTTTCGTGTCTTCGTCAAGCATTAAAAGTTGACGCGAATATTAGTACTATCACTTATTGGATATTTTGTGTTTGCTGTCATATATCAACGCTGATTTCTGTATCAATTCAACCGCGTCCTCATTAGCTGACCTAGATCAGCACAAACTTTTCGAGGATCTAATATCTACTAGTGATCAAAAAGGAAGTATCTATCCACCCTATGAGGAAGAAACAACATAAATTAAACTACCATTGTACAGACTTCTGCTCTCTAATTCAGAAGCGCATTGCAGTCTTACCCCATTTTGTTATCACACAAGTCCAAATTCATTATCATCACAACAAAGAATTGTGTTACAAATTTATTCAGGTATAAGTTCCCAAACCCGATGACCTACTCTGCATTTAGCTCCTGAAAAAAAGAGAGGAGCTAAACTTGACACATATAACTACCACTATCAGGATATATTTACACGGACCAGGAGAAGAAAAATAAATCCTGCGACCTTTCACCTTACATCAATAAATTGTTCTTGTGGAACTTCACTCACAAACCTAGAAGTACTTGTTTCACAGAATTTCTGTAGAATCTTAATAAGAGAGCGTGTCCGCTTCTTTGCTTGGCTGGTTCCTTCTGTCAAAAGTGAATAAAGAAGTGGCATAAGCGCCTGCTCTCTTACCAAAGCGGCTAATACCTCCGCGCCACAGTTGATGCATAAAGATAATAAAATGGAAACACTGTACTCTTTTCCTGCTCGAGATGTTAAATTCTGTAATTGACTCAATATTACTGGTAATGCTGAAGATTCTAGAATTGCAAATGACCCTTCAGTTTTTTCTGCTAATGAAGCTAGAACTGCCAGTGCATCTGTATTTAGTTCAGCTTTATCTGAGGAAGTTAAAAGATCAACTAGTGCTCGAACTGTTCCAGCTCCAAGTGCTCTCTCATGGTTCCTGTGACTCAGCAGTAACCCGAATATCGCAACAATGGCATTCTTTTTCCCACAACTTGTTCCTTCTTTGATGAGTTCAACTAAAGCTGGAAACACTTCTGGATTTTCTCCGATTGCCTTTCGATATTCGCGAGGTGAAGAGATGTAGAAAATTATGGCAGCTGCAATTTGCTTAGCTTCTAACTTTAACCCATCCTTAAGAACACGGATAATCAAATTCAGGCCTCCATTTTCCATAATCACTTTCTTTCCATTTGAATGTTTTGATAGTTTGAGCAAAGCAGAAATTGAGTTCTCTTGCATAATTGGATCATTTGTGTTAAGAATCTGTAAGAGTTCTGGGATAGATGCAGCTTCAATTAATACGGACCTGTTGAAAATATTTGATTTTGCCAGCAAACGAATTTCATAAGCAGCCTTGGTTATCTGCTGATCCGAACCAAAATAAAGTCTGCTTGCTAGAAATTCGGAGAGGAATTTGATTGCTTCAGCAGCTGCTGGACTTCCTGGTAAAATAGTACGCGATATATCGCGATTTTTCTTCCATGATTTAGCCAAGGATATTCCATTATCAGCGCAGAATTGTTGAATGAGCTTCCTCAGAGTCGAATTAGGTAATAATTCTGTGCTTTGTAGAATCTCCCCTGTTTTGGGACAGAGGAGGTTCCCTGACTTGAGCCATCTTTGAATAGAAGCACGATCATAGGTTTGACCCGTGGATACTGTTACAGGATCCGTCATGAGTTCAAGAGAAATCGGACACCGAAAATCCTCAGGATTCAAGCAAGTTAAAGTTTCAAGATTGGATGTTCCATCTAATTGATCAGTGTTGCCATAAACAGAATCCTCGAACAGAATTCCTCTGCAGTAGCTCAAGAATCCTACTAAACTGCTTAACATAGGCACTTCTCTTTCGTAATTCTCTGAGCATTCAAAATTGATCTCTTCCTCCAAGAATTTAATCTCCTTGTGACATTGAGCCCAAGTGGAGATATTAAGATAATCCAGAACTTTCTTGATTACACGTGTGTCTGGCTCGTACTTATTCTCAAATTGGTTCACAATTAGAATTACCCTTTTCATAGCATCTTCATCTTCAGGGTCCAGCTCCATTTTTGCCCTCTCTGCTTGATTAGCCACCATTATCGCTAACTCCTTGATTTCTCTAGAAATATTAAGAGAATTCAAAGGAAGAACATCAAGTGCTGTAGCCACAGTTCTAATCAAAGCTCGAAATTGGCTCGCTACAGAGTGGGATTTCATAAGCATCCAAGTTCTTGCCCCTTCACGTGTGCAATCATCTAATAGAAATTTTAGCTTTTGGAATGTTGTGTGGAGTTCTGCAAAACAAAGAATAATGGAATCTTTAATACTTGGAAGATTATCTCGGATTTCCTCGAAAAAAATCAAGAGGATTCCCACTTGTCTAATGGTTTCTCGGACATTTTTCCTTTGAGTTGCAAAGAATTTGGATTTGAAATTGCATATGTTACAAGACAGAGTAATCAAAGAATCCAAAAGGGTAGCCGGAGATATATTCTCACAGGGATGGACCGCCGGGAATGTCAAAATCCGGCGATCATTCCGGTCAAATCTTTGAATCATTGAACGAACTAAAGCGTTTAAGGTTTAAATTTGAATGTTTTTCAATTTTTGGCTTTTGAGATATGCTCTGTTTTCATTTCAAGATTGGAAAGTTAACAATTTGGAATTAGGACCTGGAGTCGGTTAAGGATACCGTTGGTTCCATTTATAGAAAGATTAAAACCAGACAATCTGGGACAACACGTGGCACCAATGTCTACGCGTAAACTGATTGGCTGCTTTGACTGGAGTGAATCAGTACAATGAAATGTACTTTAGGATGTGCGAATTATTGGACACGTGTACTGGACACGTGTGTTGTAACAATTGGGTTTGTGATGTTTCTTGGACCTTGGGTTGGGCCGAAAGGTCGGGCTTGAGATTTTTTTGGACTAAGTTGGTTGATATCTTAGGTGGGTTCTTACTTGTTGAAATGATATTGTGGGACCCACGTTGCCGACTGCTTGTACACGTGGATGTGCATGAAGGTGACTTGTTGCCAGGGTTATAGGGAAAGTGTGAAACAAGTCCAAGCAATTGGAGCTGATAGGGACGTGGGATATTTGTCTTTTTGGAGTTAAAAGTTATTAAAAGCTGAGATTTACCCCCATTAATAGATGGGTTTAAGAAGGAAGAATAACCATTAGTGCTGTTATTAAGCCTTAAGCAACGAACTTTACTTTTATTTTTTGTTTTATTATGCAGTATTTTTGGTTTAGAAGAAGAAGAAGAAGAAGAAGATGATAGGGAACGAAATGAAGCCTAGTTTATCTCATTGATTAAAATGTGAAAATAATTGTTTTGTTTTCTTGTCTACATTCATTTTGTTGTTTCTTAAAATAAAACAAAAACTCTAAAAAAGATCAATTGTAACTCAAAAACTATTCACCTCCAAAACTAATTTAAATAGTCATAAGAAATAAAAAAGAACAAAAGAATATTTTCTACTCTAAACTTAAATGCCCATGTTCTATCTTTTTTCCCCTTTTGGTTTAATCCCTTCGTTCCAATAAAAAGTTAACTGTTTCCTTTTGATATGTTCAAAAAAGATTGTCACACTTTATTTGAGAGGTTAAGTTCACATTTTACGTACGTAAAGTGGTTCAATGCCAAGGATACGCTTTCAGTATTTTGTGCATATTTAGTTTATGTCGAAAGCTAGTTTTATATCTTACATTACATACATTGTCTGGTATTCCCAAAAAAATTAGACCAAAGAAAATATATTTTTCCTTGGTTTTCATTGACAAATAAATTGACTCAATTACTGTCGTTTTTAGTTAGGACTTGGGCTAATTTTGACAACATGAGGTAGTTGTAAAATTTTGAGGCAGATAACTTCGCTAGCGTGGTGAAAGGCGCACACTTAGGGGTCGTTTGGTACGGTGTATAAGAATAATGCTGAATAAGGTGTATTAGTAATGCATGAGTTAGTAATGCAAGCATTAGTTATGCAAAAATTATTTTTTATTCACTGTTTGGTGTTGGTGTATTAAAAATTAAAATGCGTTGCATAATTTTTAAAAAGATTAGTTGTTTACAAAAATGCGCTCCATATTGTTTTTAGCTTTAAGGGACTTTAAGGATAATTTTGTCTTTAACCATGCTAATGCATGCATTAATAGCCTTGGTATTGCTAATACCATGGTTTGATATGCATTAGTTATACATAGGATTAGGAGTGTACATAGGTCGGGTTGGTTCGAATTTTTTAATTACCAAACCAATAAAAATCGGGTTTAAAATCTCGGCTTTTTGGGGTTTTCGGATTATTTCGGGGTTTTTTCCATAAAGTCTTCATAGCACAAAACATAGAATTTGTGCTCCAAATATTTCTTTAATCCTAGTAAGACAGAAGTATTTTTAATAAAGTAACATAAATATGAGATGATTCATGGCATTGTACTAAAATATTCAACAATAAATATGAGAAAATCGCATAAAATAAATATTATTAATAAGTCATAATGAAAACAAACATAATTTATAATAAGTTGCTAAAATAAGTACGACTAATAAGTAGTATTACTAAACACTAAAAGAAAAATAAGTTATGCATTTTATCTAAACCATGGAAAAACTTAAATAGATATCCAACACTATTTTCATTCATGGTACAATTGAATTGAATGTCTTTTATTATCATTAGTATTGATTTGATTTTGGTTTAGGATTTATTTGAGTTACTAATATTTATGGACTATAAAACTTATTGGAGCATCTAAAAATTATAAGTCCAATCTTGAAATAATACATTAAAAGATAAAATTATAAAAAAGCTAAAGAGATATTTATAAACTACACTACAATAAATATTTTTATGTATTAAATATATTTAAAACTTCTATACATATAATGTCTGGTTGGTTTGGTTTCGATTTGACTTTTTTTAGTTAAAACCAAACCAAACCAAATATCTTCGGATTTTTTTTTTCCAACACCAAACCAATTAAACCAAACCATAGACGGGTCTTTTTTCTCGGGTTGACTCGGATTATCGGGTTGGTACGGTTTGTCGGTTTCATTTGTACACCCCTACATAGGATAATATCAAATATGTTGTATAACTAATACTTGCATCAGTAATACATAGGTTGAAAAAGTGTACCAAACAACGAATTAATAATACCAAAAACTTATGCATGCGTTATTTTTTCTAATGCATTATACCAAATGACCCCTCAGAGCAAAAGGGTTTTATCAAAAGACTATCATCACCAAAGAAATTAAGCATCTTTCATGTGAATGTCAATATCCTATTGCCTGCATTGATGGAGGCGGAGCCAGTTCCAAGCTCGTTAGTTCAAAATTCTAATCGTTATAAGTTACTTGGTTTTAAATTAATAATTTATACATATTCAATAAAAAAAATTAGACAAATATAAGATTCGAACCAAAACTACTGGGTTAGGCCGAACTCGTTCCCACCACTCTAGTTCTGCCCTACACATTGAAACACCATCTAGAAATTTCCAAGCAGGATAGCATGAAGCATTTCAATTTGGACCCACTTTAAGTAACGATCATTTACACTTGAAATTTTCCAAATTGCAGGGCCGGTGTAATTTATTTCTATGACATTGTGGCGACCACAAACCTACGTCCAGAGGCAGATTTACGGGGAGATTATAGGACAAGTGAACCCATGATCTTATTGAAAAAATAGTTGATAATATTGACCAAGAACAAGAAGGAAACAAAGAACAACTCATCGAAAAATACTGTTTCATGGTAAGCCACTACCTTGAAAGCAATTTCGGCCCGACTGATGCAAATCGTTAAGATCGATCGCTCCCCAAAAACTTCCAAATACGTGCACTCATAGTTGGACAAAATAATTGTCCAGAAAAGAAGAAGAAGAAGAAGAAGAAGAACAAGAGGGAAAAAAGATATTTTTTTCCTATGTTAGATAATTCGCAAAGAGTAACAGATGAATCTGTAGATTTTACAAAAATTGAAGTATGGATGTTACAAAGAATCAATTCAAAGAGAATGAATTTGAACATGTTCTGGAAAGCATGTATTTGCACACTTTTGTGGTAAGATCAAAAAATGAAGATTTTTTTTTTAGCAAAACTAGATTTGGATTATGTCTCACGCTTATCTCGCGCGCAGGGGGGCCAATTCGACCCGTTTTGCCTTCAAGACTGTTTACCCGCAAGACGATACAGTAAAATTTATCACGTGATTTATAGACAAGCGAATTGGTTTGATCTAAAAATGATAAAGAGATAAAATTAAAATTGAGATTTAACTATTGAAAGTGAAGAAGATAACAAGCCTAGCTTCGAACTCAGCGTCTCCGAGAGCACAAATGGGAATAACGACAAAGTGAAAATAAAGTTGTTGAATTGAGAGCAAAAATAGTGAAGTAAAGTTTTTTTATGTATCGAATTACATGTCCTTACAGTGGCTGTTGACCCCTTATTTATAGCTCTACCTAGGGAAACAAGATCCTAGGATCAAACTCCTCTTAAATGATAATAAAAGAGTCATTGATGAACACGAAACGACAGGCCTTGAATGCAAATATTCTCTGCAACGGTCGCTCATTTAATGTTAGTGAATATTCTCTCATTGAATGTTATCCGATGGCAAACCGTGAAGCTTCTACCGTCGACTACATTCACTTCAGAATCTATCCGGTATCAGCCACTCGTTGTATCATTATTGGTTGTTCTTCGGCTTGTCCTTTGCTTACATTTAGTTCTACATATCATGTTACCATTCGACCATCTGTTATAAACTAATTTTACCCCGTAAAAAGACCAATTTCTCATGTGCGCGAGACCACTCTCTTTTACTAGCTCTTTACAAGCTCAACAAAGAGCAATTCAATTTGAAGAGAAGATAGAAACTTTTTACAACCGCTGAGGGACACTTTTAGCCTATTTGGCCAATAGAGTTGTCAATATGGGCGGGACGGGGTTCGTTCAGCCTAGCCCACGTGGACTTTAGCAATTGACGGACTAGGCTAGCCCACCATTTTGATGAGCTTTATAATGGTCAGCCCAACCAAGCCCTATGTAAGATGCGAGCCCCACGGCGGCCCGTCATTTTTAAAATATAATTTTATATTTTTTCTTTAAGTTCTAACATTAAAAAAGATAAAAATTTAAAAGTTAAAAAATATCTTATTGAAAAAATTTCGCAAAACTTAATAACTTTTTATACTATTCCAATATATCACAATAAACACTAAAAATATAAAAGACAAGACTATATTTCATTCACTAAAAGTCAAAACTCAAAACAAACTATTCAAGAGAACGTCCTTGTCACGACCCAAATCTCCCTCCGTAGGATGTCGTGATGGCACCTAGTCTTAGGGACTAGGTAAGCCTAACATTTACTGAAATAATAACAATATTAATTAACAACTAACAAATACGAAATAGAAATCTCTATACAATATTTACAATCCCAAAACCGGTAGTACAAGCCATAAGCTCTACTACTAGAAAGCTTATAAATACAATTGTTTTGAAGTAGAGATAAAACAGTGCAAGTACAATATCAGAAGGTGACTTCGAAGCCTGCGAACGCAGCAACAGGTTTACCTTGAGTCTCCACAGCAAGATCCATACTGTTAGCGAGCGGTCAACTGACTCCACATTACCTGGCTCTGCACAAAATAATGTGCAAAAGTGTAGTATGAGTACACCACAATCGGTACCCAGTAAGTATTAAGACTAACCTTAGTGGAGTAATGACGAGGTACAATAAAGACACTCACTGGTCAAATAACTTGTGCCATACAAAAATAATCAAAAACAAATAGCAGTGATAGCAATAATAATCAACTAGTTATATAGACAGTAAGGCAGCAAGAACACCATAATTATTACTCAGACGAATAAGAAAAACACAAGTACAACCAATTAAATAAGTCTTTCAAATATAAATCTTTCACATATAATTCTTTCGAATAAATACCCTCCAAATGTATTTCTTCAAATAAGTATCCTTCGAATATAAAACTATTTCAAATCAATATCTCATGTCATAATCATAAAATACGGTTCTTAGCCCCCTTTCATATTCTCACAGCATCTCGTGTCCATATCTCTATCACAACCGCACGGACGACTCTCA